GATGTAACATCGCAGCCAAAAAACTTGTCAAATTAACCAAATCATTACTGTACCACGAATGCTCCTATCTTCGACACTTCACACAAAAAATAACTCTTGGACGCCTTGCGTGCCTATGTTAGTAGATCCAATCTGATTGGGGTGACATACATACATCTCTCACTCACTCACTCACCCATTGACCCGTAACATACCCGACGCGCCGACTAAGAGGTATTTTTTTTTTTTTACAAAAAAATAAGTCAAAAATGGTTCTAAAGTTCGCAGTGTTCAAAATATGGAAGATACATTTTCTCCTAGCATTTCTGCCCAGTGAGCAAACAATTACTGCGAATAATCCAGGTTTTCAAGCACGGTTCAAAAAATCGAAATTCCACGACTTTAGAGATTGTTTGTTTGTCTATTTTCTCATAACGAATGGTTTTCAATGCAACAACGCTATGGGTAGTGTCAAAAGGCTTTCTCATGCAGTGTTCAGGTGTTGAGATTCTAAGAGTAAATGGTGTCGACAACGGACCAAATATCACGCATGTCATTGTACAAGATAATAGCTAGGGGCGTGCTTGGCGAAGCGTTGCATCTGCGAGAAAACGTTTCTAAAATTCCTCAAGCCTTCTACTGAATTTTTAGTCTGAAGACTTACAGCAAGTTTAATGAACAGCTTTAACTTGATTTTTCTGATGACGGATATTTTTTTAAAAAACAGCTTTTCGTACCGGATTTGTTGTTTTGATCAATGTAATACAAAATACATTTGCATTCAATTTTTATACGCACTTAAAGAGTTTAGAGCGTAACCGGAGTTCTTTCATTTTACAATCTGAAAAAAGCAACGCGATATTCAGAAATGCCACTAATTAAAGGATTAGTGAAGAATTTCCACTGATCCATACATAGCAGAAGCCTTGAAATGGAGTGAAAGATAATATACTTCATCAAAAGTTTGGAATTTTGATGTTCAAAATGATCCCCCTAGTCCCAAGTTTTTAATAACTTGATGCTGTTTGTAGAAAATGTCAACGCATGCAATAGTCAACTGTTTCCGAATGTAATCCTATATAGAATGTATAATTAATTGTATGCAAAACAGAACAGGTTAAATATAATTGTGATGTCCAAAAGTCGAGTAATCTTCGAACTGAACGATTTGGAAAGAAATGCCAAATTTTCTTCGCCCAGATTCCAGTCCTTGGAATGAAATATAGGATCAGATGGGAAAATAACAATTTTGACGTTACGAGCACTTTAAGGGAAATGTTGGCACTATTCTGATTTTAGGATTTCTGCAGAGCAGAAATAACGCCCTAACTGTTACTCTCTCTGCTTCATCCTCAGTTTGAATCTGAATCAGATAAATTTCTATTCACTTCCTGTTTTCTTGGAACCAAAGAAAAAACGCAATTTAATAACTAAATCATATTAAACTTTTTTCAGCTATCAAGTAATACTTCACGTAATCCTTGCTTCGGTGTTTGTTCCATTCTCACTGGCTTTGACTCACTCCGACGTCCGTGCTTCGTCTTTGATTGCCATTCAAGAGAACTATGCGTTGTTTGGGCACGTGATAGCCAGTCACATGACCAAAGGAATTACAGTATGCTCGCAGCTTTGTATATCCAATGCAGACTGTCTCTCGTTCAACTTTAGACAAAACTCAGATGTCGACGTTGATGGTTTATGTCAGCTTAATAACCAGAGGTGCCAAAACAACCGAGAAGTAAAACCTACTCAAGCCCAAGGATATATTTACGGAGAGTTCATTGACGTTAAAATTAAACAATATATATTTACGACACTGGGGGCAAAAGGTATAGATGGACCAACGGTATCACAGCTCGTTGGCTACAAAGGCACCAATCTGGAAGGAAAGGTAGACATCTCCAAGGGAAAGCAACTCTGGAAGGTCCCTTTCACCGGGACCTATACTATAGAGGCCTTTGGTGCCTCCGGAGGTAATGGAACGTGCCAAGGTTGTGTGGGATGGAAACTTGGAGGACTGGGTGCGAGGATAAAAGGAACTTTCTACTTCACCAAGGAAACAACGCTGGTCATTGTCGTTGGCCAGCGGGGTCTCCCGGTCCTTACCTTCGAGCAACGGCCTGGCGGAGGGGGTGGAGGCACGTTTGTTACTTTTTACGACAGTAGGAAGATTATCATTGCCGGAGGAGGAGGAGGAGGGGGACTGGCAAAGTCCGGGTATGAGGACGGCGACCCGGGCCAAGCTACTGAAAATGGCACACGCCACGGCGGGTTCAATGGAATTGGAGGAATGCGATATAACCCACTGAATAAGACGTTTGATTCTGCAGATATCAAAGCGAGTTCGGGGGCAGGATATAAAGGGGATGGTGACAGTCTTCATGTCGGCGGGACCCCAGCGAGAAGTTTGCTTTCCGGTGCTACAGGAGGCTCCCATGCTGCAGCAAATGGAGGATTTGGAGGGGGAGGCTTTGGTATGACTCATGGGGGTGGGGGTGGGGGATATTCGGGTGGTGGTGTCATCGGTACTAAGACGTCAGGAGCCGCAGGGGGAGGGGGCTCGTTTAATTCTGGTTCCTTTCAGGACAACGAATCCGGGGTCAATGAAGGGGATGGAAAGGTAATAATCACATTAATTAATTAATTAATTGATTACTTGATTAATTAAAATAAATTATTGCAATAATAAAATGATTATTTAATTTCCCATAGACAAACCCAAAGCAAACCTATTTCCAAAAAACGTTTTCACGTCTTTAGGAACATACGGCGGTCAAATTAGCTGTTGTTGGCAAACTCGTGTGAGCATTTGAATCGAAGGGATTTGTTAAACCTGATCTTATCGCGAGATAAGTACAATTTAAATCTGGGTATTGATTTGTCTTTTCAGTTGAAGAACTTGGTTGATAATAAATGATGACTGCATTTCGTAACTGACTTTCCAAGCAATAATTTTTTGTCGTTAGTGAGTGTATGTTTTTTGTTTCCATTGGACTCTAGGAACGTATCTAACTAAAGCCACTGTAACACAGTTGTCGTTCAGTCTTAATTTCGTTTCATTTTGATGCATTGTTAGCTTGTTCTTTTTGTTATCAAAACAAATGATGCCGCAAAAATCTGAACATAAGACTGGCTGATATTTGTTTTTAAAAGGTCTACTTTTTGGGTATACTTTACGAGAATAGGGTGAGAGAGGGGGAGGTGAAGGAAAGGGACGAGTAAGGGATAATTATTCTGGTTGAAGTTCGCAATGGGGTCTTTTTTCAAAACTGTTTACACCAAAAATAAAAATATCAACTCAAACGGCTACATGTAACTAAAAAGTCAGTCGCAAATTGAGTTTGAGATTAAGCAAATTGGGCGACTGACTGACTGGCTGGCTGGCTGGCAGACAGACTGACTGACTGACTGACTGACTGACTGACTAACTGACTGACTGACTGACTAACTGACTGACTGACTGGCTGGCTGACTGGCTGACTGACGGGTGGACGGGTGGACGGGCGAACTGACGGACGGACAGACGGATTGAGGGACGGACTGACAGACGGACTGACTGAAGACTGAAGAACGTAAAGCAAATACTTAGAGCGCATACCAATAACTGAACTTAAGGACTTTATTTAATGTTCATAAACACATAAATGTAATTCTTGAAAAAAAAGAACTTTTCATGAAATATGAAGATCGATGATAAGTAAAAAAGCAAAGAACTTAAGAAGAGCGTCAAGAAAAAGTTTCCCCGCATGTCAGATCTGAATTTCAACACGTACTTTGCATAGAACGCTTGGCCAGTTAAGAAATACTCATGAAAAGTTGAATCTGTAGTTAATAAGCATAAATTGTAAATCGTTATATCAGTTGTAAACAGACATACAAACATACAAGAATTTCTTCAAGAAGAAGAAAGGTAGTCACTGTTTGTAAAAAGGGAAGAGCGATCTTTTAATAGTTGAAGTAAGAAGACTTGCAAATAAATAAACAATTTAACAGTTCAGTTACTCATTCTGTTCGCAGCTCTCCTGTCCGATATCTTCGTCCTTCTTCTTGGACTTGCGCCAGTGACAATAAATGATCGTTTCTTTCTTGATTCAGCTGCGTTTCAAGTTCTGACACCTAAAACAAGACAAAAAATGCTAAAAGAAGTTCAGTCATGGTATTTTGAGTTATTTTGGCCACATACAAAATTACCTTTAAATAAAGGATACCTGAAAATATTAGTTTACTAAGATAAAAAAAAAAAAAAAAAAAAAAACACCAAAGATATAAAAGACCATAAAGGAACTAGAATGGTTAAGGATGGAGAAGATTGACGCGGATTACAAAAGACAAACTTGAAAAAATGTAGTCTAAATCTTTCGAGATGCGCAAACTGTGACGTAGCTCCTTTAACTATCAATCGCTTGATTATGGTTTCTGTACCATAAAGCGACCAAACGTACAGTAACCTTCCCTGGACCTCCAGGGATAACTTCGGAGCCAGAGAGTCATATTGGTAGACCATATTCGTATTCTCGGTTTTGGACTGGAACTAGCTTGTAATGGAGGCTCATGTGGGGAAATATCATAAAAGGAATTAATGTCCTTTACATTTGAAAAGACTCCCCGCAATAGCCTCAATAGGATGCTAGTTGCAGTCCAATAACGGGAATACGAATGTGGTTTATTGACAGGGGTGTATGTGATCGCCAGAAATTCCAAAAGGAATAACCTCCAACAGGTACCCAAATGTACATGTAGTTTCGTTAGGGTGATAATCCCTGCATCTTGAACGCAGAGTTTTGGGAGAAGTATGTATCGAAGAAAATTGCTCCGAAACAAACGTGCACATACCTTGAAATAAAGCTCCCGCAATTTCTGAATAGTCTTATTGTCCATTTTTTCCATGCAGTTGACCCTTGAAGTTTCACAGCACTTATCATGTAAATTTGTTTCCCTGCAAAAAGGCGGCGAAATTATGTCAAAAAGGTGCAAAACTCTTGTTTTCAAACTTGACAAATTTCTTAAGCTGAATTTGCTGGATATTTTATATCTGAACCATTTAAGAAAACCCGTTTAAGATGGCCGCATTTGTTAACTGCTTATTTAAGTTTGTTGAACACTTGACTTTTCGGTATGCGTTCTGCCGCTGTTTGTTAATTAGAGCGGTTTTCAATTAACTTCGGAAAACCAAAACCAAAGTAATCATGGCCAATCACCAAGAACACAGACAATCCAGTGAACCAATCAAAGCTCAAGCAAATTCCATACAGCCGGCAAAAGCGTGGGAAAATTGTGCGCGAGCGAGTCGCGTTGATTTTGGTTTCATTTCTGATTGGATGAGAAAGTGGCGCGAGATATTAAAAGCAATCAAGAAGTGTAGTAGTAATGCAAAACAGAAGCAGATGTGAATTGCTTTCGACAGTCCTACAGTAAAAACCGCTCTTACGCAAATTTTGCTGCTGATAATTTCAAAAATTCTGTGAAACAAGTGAATAGTACTGCGTGTACTGTGATCGATTATGCGTCGTTTCATCGTAGTAAGAATGGGAGAACTCGAAACGGCTGAAGTACTCTTCTTACGGCTGTTTTCGGTCTTAAAGCATCAATGCGTTCGTATGCACTACTGAAATTTTGTAGGGGAGGGGGTCCTCTGCGTAAATCAAAAAACAACTTCTTTGCAGTAGGATGATATATTGCGTTCCAGAGTGACCTACAGGAATATCTCGGTTTTACACCCCCACCTCCCAACCACCCCCACCCCCCTCCACCCAACAAAGTACAAAAGCTCTTTTATTTAAGCTCATCACATTTAGTAGAGATGGTCGAGGGGAAAAGGAGAACAACGAATGTTTTTGTTTATTCTAATCTATTTTAGTATTAACAAACATTTTAATTAAGTTATCATACCATCTTCCAATTGCATCGTTAAGTGACTTTTTCAAGGTTGTAATCTCATTCTTGTTTCTTTCTCGCAAAACCGTGATTTCTTTCTGCAGCTGATCATTTCTGTCAGCAAAAGAATTGGAAACATGCACATTGTAATTATAGCTAGTCTTCTTATCGAAAAAAAATAGCAGAGTAAGGCGGTGAACATCACGGAAAATTTGTATCAATTCAGTTTATGGTTACGCATGTGCGTAAAACACATATTAGGTAACTTTCTCGTTGATAACACCACCCTACTGGGCTTTCTTCGTAGAGTAGGTAACAGCTTAAAGGATATTACGATTTTAAGCAAAGTACGCTCAAACGCCAACATTGAGAGGCGCAATTCGTGTAATGCTTTTTGACACGTTTCGCCATCCGTCTACACCAAAGCGGTTTTTCCAGTCACCTTAAACGGAGCGGCTTTCAAAACTACACTTTAGAGATCGAGTGGATACTTAAGCTTAATTTCGAAAATGCCTCTTTCCTGTTGCAGTGTGGACGGCGAAATGATGTGTTTTGAAAACGCTGACGAAATCTCTGATGATTTGACTAAGATAGCGTGGACAAAAATAGTCTTCCACCTCAGCCTTTGGCTTCAGCAAATAATTGGTCTGCTCGACACTAACAAATCGTGATATTTTGCTCAACCTCGTCCAATAATTGTTATTATTGTAATTTCCCGTTGGAAGACGTTATTTTGCTACTGTGAAAGGTTACTCGTTAGCTTTTCTCGTGAGTTATTAATCCCTAATAACGTGGGAATTATAAAATTCATACCTACGAGCTATCGACTGATGCAAGGTAATCTCGTTCTTAAGTGAATTTTCCAAATCCTTGATCTTAAATTGAGCGTCTCTAAGGCTCATGTCTTGTGTCGTATTCGCCACCCTGAGATCATAAAACTCTTTGTTCTTTTCCTCAAGTTGATTCCTGCAAAAGTTTCAGAAAGCAACTGTAAAAGATCGCGCTCCGGAAAATTGGAATTCGAGAGCCAGATTCACAAAGCTAATCTAAGGTAAGACTCCAATTCTCATATTTCGTGCGCTTCTCCTCTTTTCCCCTTTCTATAACTTTAACCAAGTGATAGTGTCCCCAAAGCGTGCTTCAATAATGGTTTGTGGGTAGGGGGTATGGCTATCGACGAAATAATTTTTTCTTATTAAGTGGGACTGTTCCTTGTATGAAAGCGTCTCGAATCACTAAAACGTCTTAACTCTTTCATCCTTAATTGTATCATTCTGGTCCCTGGGTTTTAGCGTACAGACAAAATCCGTGTAGTACACAGCATGTGTAGTAAATCTGCGCTGTTCTGTCTTGAGTAAAATTGCAATCACTCACATTTCTGGAACATTCACAGTTTGTATACTTTACATACCAGGATAAGGTTAACAGAAATTCCATAATTAAGCATGCAATCGAGGCTTTCCTTCAGTCTTAATTGCAAAACGCCAACTTTCACATTCAGAATCACTGGTCAAATTGAGATTGTGTCATTTCTTAAAATACAAACTAGCAGGCCACAGGTTATTAAATTGGCAAGGTACAGGCGCAAAGGCTGGGCAGCGCTATGCCTATCATCTTTTTTTTCTTTTCAATAGGTCAGGTTGTATTTTGCTATTAACTATTGTCTAATAGTTGACTGGTCAGTACTCTCTTACTTGATTAATTTCAGCTCAGTTTCTTTAACAGTAGTTTGTACATCAAGTGTTTTCTTCATCTGGGAAGAGATACACGTTTAACGATACAAAATAAGCAAAGGTATGTTGCTTGAACTGGAAAAAAAAAAACGTACTTTGGCTTCACTGGTAAAAAGGCATTTGCACTGTACAACTGAAAAACCCTACGTTGTTTATAACTAACAGAAGTCATAGCGGTTCGGTGGTGTAGCAGCTCTCGTAAGCTTGTAATTCTATTTGTCGTCATTGCAGCAGCTGTTATTGATTGTTTTGGGGCTAGGGGCATTGTTTCTGCTGTTTGCTTTCTCAAAGGGTTTCGAACCATTAATGTGAGACCTCACGAGAGCTGCAACATGACCCTAGGGGTTGCCAGTATTTAGGTGTGCAGAGCTGTTTCTAGATCTTAGGCAGTATGTATATGTGGCTAACAACTGAGGCAGGCCTTCCACCTAACGATATACGGATCTAAGATCAGAAGATTAAGATTAATATGAACTGGATATATAATATGTGATATACGTGGATCCAGGGAAGGGGCAGGTTAAAGAAACACTCTCCTTTTCGTTAAAAAACACAAGGCTTAAAAGCGGAAAAATTATGTACATGCTCTTTTTTGAGCAAAACAATTCGAAAAAACCCCTTCCTCAGTCTACTTATCTCCTGTTCCCTTTTAAGCAAGAAAAATGTCCCCTCCCTTTCGCCAAGAAAAGGCTCTTGTTCTCTTCGCACCCCCCCCTTCCCCATACATGTAAAAACACGACGGGTAATACAGAAGCCTCCGAAAAGTAGGTCTAAAAAAAATGTTTCAATTGTGCAAATACATCGTGGAGTATTCTCCATAAAGAACGAATTCCTGAATCCTGAATTCAAATTATATTATAAAATAGCGTTACTAAAATGGTTCACCCTTGCTGGCTGTATCAGGGAAAATGGACTTTCATTGACTGGTATGCAATTAAGGTCGCAAATATGTGCGTGGATTAAATGGATCTTAGTCCCCTTACGACAACAACAACACAAGGTGAGGTAAGGCAAGGTAAATTTATTTATAGTAACCAAGAGAGTATGATGTCACGATTAAAGAGGTGGATTGACTATCTAACTAGAGTGGCCTACTTTACCTCGGCATTCATCGATTCGAGATCTCGAACAGTTTTTCCCAGAGAGTTCTTTTCTTTCAGATTTTCTTTCAGCTGTCCTTTTAGTGATTTCAGCGAATCTTTCGTCTTGCATAGTGATTCTAACAATGAAAGATTATAATTGAAATGACACTATTTGCATTCTTAATACATTCCCGAATCTTAATGTATATGGGCATATAAGCAGAAGGTGTTCCTCAGAATAGTGGTTTCCACCCTTCTGATGTTATTACGTGAACCTCTTCCCAGCGTTCTGTCAGTTGAGGAGCAAAGGGAAGGAGTTGTGAGAGAAAAAAATAAGTGTCTGAGGAATGCGGCGCTGAAAAACCAAAGACTTTCACTTCTGTCCTCAAATTCCTTCCTTATTTTTCTCGCACCGTTTTACGCGCTGTTTCCCAACTAACAGAACGCCTGGAACAGGGTAACTTAATTACAGCCCGATTATTTATACGCAGACGAGCAAACGTATGCCTGATTGGGGGGCTTTGCAGGTGAACCACCACGAGGCGGAGGCTGAGCTGCATCATCCTGGTCTAAACCGAGCTTCAACCGGTAGAAGTACTTGTTACATCGAAGGTCACAAGACACGAAGACTACGTTTAGACGTGATGTATCAAGTGTAGTTATTATTGGTTTGAAGGCGGTTAGAACAAAACGTTTTTGAAATTATTTCAGTTAATTCCGAGAGAGGAAAGTGCTCCAGTCACACGCTCGAGACCTCGAGCCATTCAAAACTATAGAAACGGCGACCAGTGCGTTTCTTTAGTTTATGCTGAAGTTACTTGCTTGTTTTCATTTAAGCTAATTTCAAGCATTTGCTTACCTTCGGTGGTCTTCAGCTTTACTGGAAACAGATCCATGTCCTTCAGAGAAGCGTTCAATATTTCTTTATCCTTACACAGCGAATCAATTTGGGCAGTCATCGCTCTTTGTCTCTCCAAAAGAGCCACAACACATTTCTTGTCAGCTCTTAATTCTCCTTCGCATTTGGAAAGGCGTTTCCTAAGAGATTCGTTTTCTTCCTTCATTTGACGCATGAAACTCTCAGAATTGGAAATCACATTCTCCTTTTCCAACAGAACATCCTCCATATTTTGCTTCACTTGTAAAGTTGAGTTCTTCAACTCTTCAAACCTTTCCACGAGATTATTTTTCTCTTTTATCTCGCGGTTCAAGTTAGTTTCCAGACCCTTTATGTCGCATTTTAAACGGCTGTTCTCCTTTTGTGCAGTTTCAAGTGATCTCCGAGCTTCACACAAACTCGTTTCTTTAGCCAAGGAAGATACCTTCAAGTTTTCAAGCTCGTGTGCCAAAATCTCTTTACACACTTCAGCGGATTTCAAGGCTGAGTAGACTTCTGAAATTTCTGCAAATCGATGTTTCGTTTCTTTATCCAAAGATGCGAGCTTTGCAAGCAGGTTTTCTTTTTCTCTCTTTAAACTCTTGATATGACATTCCAAATTTGTCTTCGTGTTTTCTTCGGATTGTCTCAACTTGCCCAGCTCGGTCAACAAACTTTCCTTTTCTTTGTTAAGAACCAAAAGCAATCCTTCGTTTTTTTCTAACTCACTGTGTAAATGATCCAGTTCATCGTGCATGCGATCTTGCTCTTTCATTGCAGATGCTTTGAAGTTCTGGTACTCTGAGCAAAGTTTTTCGTTCTCCGCTTTTTCGTCCTTGACATTTGAAACAAGAGCCCTAGCGTTTGATTCGTTCTCCTTTAACGTTGCTAACAGCTCTTGAACTGCTCCCTTGAGTTCGTTCTCTCTCTCTGTTGCTTCTTCGATTTCTGCTTTCTGCGTATCTACCTTACTCTCAAGTGTTGTGATCTGTTTCTCCAAGTCGTCTTTTTTCAGCACTATTTCTTCAAGAAGAACTGAACGTTGGTAAAACTCGTCTTGTTTGTTGTCCCTGTCTTGTCTCAACTCACTCATCTCCACTTCTTTCTCATTTAACTTAATTTGCAAAGTGACCACATTTTCTTCAAGCTTTTCTTGCTTCTGTGCCGCTTCGAAGTGGTTCTTTCTTAGCATCTTAATCTTCTGTAACATAAGGTTAATTTTCTCGTCTTTCGCGTCGCAAAATCGCTTCTGTGTCTCTAACTCTTGAAGCAGATCTTGTTTCACTTCCTCCACACGAAGCTTCTCGTTCTCTGCCAACTTCAACAAAGACTCAACTTGGTAGAAATTGTCTTGGAGTTTTGAAAGATTACTCGATGTTTCTTCTAGCTGCCTTTCCAAGCTTTCTTTGCGTTCTACTTCCAATTTGAGCAACGAATAACCTTCTTCTAATTTCTTCACCTTGACTCGTTCATTATCCAACTCATCCAAAATCTTCTGTTTTTCGTCGTCTTTAATCTTCTGTTGCTTGTCAAAGTCTGACACAGCATTCACCATATTACCTTCCATCAGCTTAAACTCCTCGACTCGCCGCTCCAAAGCTTTTGTCAACTGGGATATTCTTTCCTCTAGAGATGTTCTCTCGTCTTCCAGCTTCTTCAGATCATGTCTTAGTTTTGCTTCGCTGTCACCAGACTCCTGAATAAGGGTTGCCAAATTGACTCGTAAGTCTTCCGCGTCTTTGTCTGAATTCTCTAACGCGTTCTTCAAGACATTAATTTTATCGTCTTTTTTCTGTAAAGCCAGACGATACTTCACAGCGTTTTCCTGAATTATGGCCTTTAAATTTTCTGCTACATTTTCCCGTTCCTTGAATCCTACTTCGGCCGACTGAATGACATCTTTAATTTCTGTTACATAATTTTCTTCCTCTTCCTTTAAGCGAGATTGGAGATCTCCGACTTCTTTCTCGGCATTCTGCAACAACTCTTCTTTCTCTCCTAACTTATCTTCCAGTTGAGCTATTTTCTCTTTCGTAAGGGTGATATCGGAATCTTGTTGGCATGCCACCTCAGTCGCTCGGTCTAACTTGACTTTATATTCTTCCAATTCTTTCTGCATTTCCTCTCTTTTCCAAAGCATGTCTTCATTTGCCGTTGTGATTTCTACAATCCTTGCTTCCTTTGCCGTTAGACTGTCATTAAATTTCCTTCCTAGGAGGGAAATCTCGTCTTCTTTCAGGATTAAACTTCTTTCCAATGATTCCCTCACTGATTGGAATTCCATTTTTGTTTCTTCCAACGACTTTCCAAGCTGTCGAATTTCTTCCTCCTTCCAGACAACTTGTTCATCGGAGGATCTTTTTACATCTCTGAGAAGATCGTCTTTAGCTTTTAACGCCTCGTTCCAACACTCTTCTCGCTTTTCCATCTCATTTTTATGGTCGTTATTACTTTTCTCCAACTTCTGTTGCATTTCTTCGAGTTCTTGTTCCTTCAAGGTAACAGCATTTGTTAACGACCGCTCTAATATCTCCTTTTCATTATTCCCTCGAATATATTTCTCGTTCAGAACCTCCAACTCCTCAGAAAGCTGATCCAGCTCTGCCTCTAACTTATGTTCTTGTTGTTTTGCATTTTCTAGTAAGCTACTTAGGCTAGCCACGTCTTTCTCTCGCTCATCCAGGTTAGCCTTCAGTTCGTCATTTTCTCGCCGAGTTTCTTTATATTTGCTTCTCAGATTTTCTAGAGTCGCTGTGTTATTTTCCTCTTTCATTGCTCTATGCTCGATTTCTAAAGCAAATTTATTTTCAGAGACGTTCAACTTTTCTTTCAGCAAATGTTGTTCTTGATCCCTCTCCCGAACAACAAATTCCAGGTTCTTTTGTCCTTGGAACAAGTCTGTGTTTTCCTTGCGTAATTGCCCAATCACGTCCTCCAAATTTTGTCGAACGGATTCCAACGATTGAACCTTGTACTCAAACTCACAGCAAGTCCTGCTTTTACTTTCCAGCTCATCTCCGAGACGTTTTACTTCATTTTCAAGGGAGTTCCTCTCTTCCTCGATTAGTTTCATCGCAGACTTCCAGTTATCAAGATCTTGAGCCAAGGAGTCACATTTGTGCTTCAAAACTTGCTTTTCCTGAGATTCGCTCTCAAACGTTTTATGAATGTCATTCAGTTTGGTTTCCTTTGCGTGAACATCTCTTAACAAATCTTCGACGTCCTTCTCTAAAACTCCTTTCTCTTCCTTCAGATCACTCATCTTTGTTAACATGGACGGTATTTTCGTCTTGAGGTTTTCATTGTACCCTTTCTCTGACAGTTCAGTAACTAACTGTGATTCAATGCATTTCAGTTTAGTAGACAACTCATCCATTTGCCGATCCTTGTCTCTTAATGCCATCTCATGGCGTTTCTGCTGCTCCTTACTTAGTATTTCTAATGACATCAGCTGATTATCTTTATCTTCTAATAACTTCTGTTGACGTTCTTGTAGTTCTGCCATTTCACGTCTTCTCGTTTCGGAAGCTGTACGCAAAGCTGCGATCAGTTTACTTTTCTCCTCTTCAGTTACACTTATCAAATTCTGTAAATTTTCAATGGTCTTCTGCAATTGCTCAATTTCTGTTTCTTTTCCAGCCAACTCCCACTTCAAGCGTTTAATATCTTTCTCTTTTCGTTTGTTTTCGTCATTCTTTAACGTCAGCACATTATCTGACGATTCTTTCAACATTTTCATCTGTCTTTCCTTTTCTTCTACCACACTATCCAAAGTGAACTTTGTGTTTTCAGAGTCTTGGTCTTTTTCAGCTATGACTTCCGATAAAAGCGCTTTCAATCTCCTCACTTCCTGTTCAAGAACCTGGATTTCCTCTTTACTCGACATTTTAAGCTCTTCAATCTCCATTTCCTTTTGTCTTAACCTCTTTTGGTACGAAGTTAAGACTTCCCTGCCCTGGGAATTCGATTTCTTCGCCTCTTCAAGCCAGATCCTCAACCTCAACAATTCTGCGTCTTTCGCGCGGAGTTTACTTTCTGTCGACTTTTCCGCCGAGGCGAGAATCTCTTCTTTGGTTCCCATAAGTTCATCTAAAGTTTGCCTAAGCTGCGAAATCTCGCTATTCTGAAGACTTAGCGCACTTTCGTAAGACACTGTCAGTTCTTCGACCTCATTATTTCGAGATTCAACGGCTTCTTTAAGAGCGGCTTCGAGATTTGCCACTTCACTCACCTTACTTTTGTACTCTTCCTGCCAGTAATTTCGAATCTCTCTCAGCTCTTTCTCTTTCTCTTCAAAAGCATCTCTTGAAGTCTTCAAGGAATTTCCATCAGGTCGTTCTTTGGAGTTTTCGGGCGTGCTTCGCGGAAAACAGCCGAGTTGTTTGTCGGTCTCGTATCGTTGTTTTGCCCTTGGACTCAAAGCCATTTTTGCTCGTCAGTCCAAGCAGTTATTACGAGTCATAAAACATCCTGTGAAAGTCATCTGTCTTGAACTTGAGGACTTCATGTTCTCGACTTGCAGAATTAACTCGCGACCTTTGTGACGTCACCTTGCTTGCACTCGCGCGCGCTTCATTAGTTTCGCCTTTCGGGAAAATGCTATGTGTACGCAAACTTAAATTTGAAAACTTCCGAGCTATGAACTTGCTTATGGATTTACCTTTAGTTAGATGTTCAACTTTGAAGATGACGTAAGTCGCGAAAATGTCACTTCAATGTTTCTCGTTGGGTGACTCTTGTTCCCAGATCTCTTGTGGACAAAGAGACCTGGGAGCGAATTTTTGATTGGGTGTTTAAAGTATTAAGCACGCGCATGGGTAAACAACAAGAAGACATGTCTCAAGCCCCCTTGTCTCAAGCATTATCTTGTCGAACACTTAAGTTTCATCACATAATTATAACGAATAAAAAGCTTTTTTATTTCGACTTTTCTTCCAGCTTAAGTTTAGGATGTCAATTAGCTACTAGCCCTGTTTGATTTCATTTTAGTGGTACCTTTCGGGAGAAAATTTGCCTAACGTAAGTTGGCTTAAAAGATCAGTTAACGGACATGAAGACAAAAACAACAAAATGCTCACAAGCTCATCTGACAAAGGGGTAAGTGGTTGCTTGTTAGTTAATGAAAATGTTTCCGTGTCATTTTTTTTTTCCCGCGCGGTTGGATTTTTCACGTGTAAAAGAGGCCACATTTTCTTCGTAAAATACGAATTGCATGCTCCTTCCCAGAAAACCATAAACGGATCTCAATAAAAATCGGCGATCCCTAGACTCAAGACCAGAGCTGCCGTCGAAGGAAAAAGCTGGATTTGTGACGAGGTTTTCTCCCAGACTTCGGAGTCTTGCCTCAGCTGTCCGAATATAGGTTTTGTCCGACAATAGGTACCAGTAACTACTTATTCGAAGCAATTGGCTATGTTCGGATACTTGCACAACCACAGCTGCAACAACAACAATATATAACAAAACACTCGGGAGGAACTTTAACACTTCATCATTCGTTCTACATGTACATACATGTAAATTTGTAGCTTACACTGTTTGCGGGGCGGGTTCCACATACAAGTCACACAGAGCAAAAAAAGAAATACATAACTGAGCTTCATGAGCGGATCTAGAATGAATAGTGACTGATTTCCGAAACAACAAGTACCTTCGAATTTCAAGAAAGGAACAGGACCATGTTCCTTTAGGAAATGTTCTGGATTTAGTTTCTTAGTCATTCTGAAAAATCTGACCGACTTCTGTAAAACGGTGGAAACTGGTATGGATCCGCGCCTGAGCTTACATTTGATAAATCAAATCATTATGTATTCAACATTTACAACAACATAGAAATTAATTAATAAATTCAAACAGGAGCCATAATCGGGGACGGAGACCGTAAGTCTCGGGATTCGCGCGCACCTATGATATGGGACAATTTTTCTATTTTTAGAACAAATTGCGCC